ATACATATACCTTCCATTCCTTTCAGGCGGCGAAAGACAAGGCGGACAGGCGTATGTGGAACACGGAAAAGCGCGAGCATGAGGCGCGCTGCGAATACTTTGGCGCTGACCTAAGCACCGATCCGAAGCAGCTGCCCTTCTACCAGGATACGGAGACCAAGCAATGGTTCAACAGTGAGGATAAGCCGGTTGCAGCTCCGCTGCGTTGCGGCAAAGACAGCAACGTTGTTGATGAAGAGCAGTCGCCGAAGCACGGTGATGATGTGAAATATAAGTTGCCCGCCAATGTGGAGCCATTGCCGCCATCCTGGCATTGGCATGTGACCCCCGAAGGCGACATCTTTTATTATAATCTACGGGACCGCATCCCGCAGTGGGAGCCGCCGAATGCGCAGCAACGTCAAGAGGAGTTGATAGACGATTCGCCAGTGAAGGAGAAGCCAGCCGAGGAGAAGGATGCCGACGTTCTGGTCGACATCGATGAGGACTATGTGGGCACCCTCAGTCCCAAGTCGCTGCGTCAGTATATCGAGGCGAAGGTCCAGGAGCGTCGTGAAATACGTCGCAATCGACTCGTCTCCGTCTGTCCAATCAGTCCGCGGCGCGAGGAGGACCGTATCCACAATCAGCAGGAGTTGCGCAAGTATAAGGAGAACAAGGAGAAAATACGCCGTCGCAAGGAACTCTTCCGTCGCACCGACAGCGCCGAAGCAGCTGGAGCTGACCAAGCCAGTGATGTAGTGCCCATTCAGGACTATTTGTTCTCCTCCGATGAGGAGTCTGAACCAAATCTGGCCAGTGCCGCCAAGCCGTTGAACGACATAGTTGTCAACGGCAATGACAATGCGCGCGTGGACGATATTGTGGCTCTCAATGCCAGCCAGAACTCAAGTAATTCAGAAGAGTCCATTCAGAAACACATATTGGGGCTCAATTTGAGCGACTCCGATGCAGATTCGCCGCTCAACACAAAACGTAAACTGCCCATGCCACCACAACTAACGGACAGCAAGAAGAAACATCGCGGTGATCGCGAAAGGAAGCGCAAAACGTAAGCACAGCAAATCCACAAGCAGAATCTAGTAAATCGCAATCATTCAATTATTCATTTCAGGTCACTGAGCAACTCGTCCAGCAGCGTCGAGAAGTTTCGCTTTGAGATTAGCGGCCATGTGGCGGAGTTCCTACGTCCATATCGCAAGGAAAGCTGTCAGATGGGTCGCATTGTCAGCGATGAGGACTATAAGTTTCTCATTAAACGAGTAAGTAAACAAATCAGAAAACTTAAATCGGAATGCCCTGATTTCCGGATTTGGTTAAATTTTGAGTCGGTTTCCAAAATATAACACAATTCAAAAATGTCCGAGCTATGGTAGCCGACTTTTCGAATCGATCTTTAGTCGATAATATTAAAACTATATACGGATCTTCACGAACGGTGCAACTCCGGATACGGACGGACAGACAGACAAACAGTGCTGAATCTATTCAGCTGGTTCTTCTGTGCCTTAGACTATATATACTCAAAGGGGCCTGACACGCCCATTTGTGCCTATGGCATGCATTTTTATATAACCAATATACTGTTTGTATACACTCCAATATTCATATTATAATGAATTCAGAGTATACAAAAAGTATTAAGAGAATATTATTTGAATATTATCATCCCTTAAATCATATATTTTAATATTTTAGCTGAGCCACCACATAACGACCAAAGAGATGCGCTACTGTGACTCGAACGGAAATTCGCTGGCCTGCACTGAATCGGTTAAGAATAAGTCCTATGAGTTTATCAATCAGTATATGCGGAAGAAGGGACCCGTGTACCAGAAGCCAGCCGATGAGCCCGACTATTAATGATCAGTATCAGCCCCACTCAGGCACTTTGTAACTTTAATCATATATTTAGCTTTAATCGAACAGCGAATGTTTTCTTATTTTAATTTTGTTTTAAAATGTTTCTACCCAATGTTTGGGTATATAGTTACTTAATTTCAGCAATTTACCTGAATACAAATTGCTAAGAAAAGACTATGAGCTTTCTCGTTGCAAAACATGAAATAAAAAATATATTTTTCAATGCGGAGGTTATTCTTTTCTTTGAACTACTTGACTAGCCTAACGGAGCAATCCCCAATGAATGGGAGAGGCATGCAAAGAAAAACGAGGATTGTATAATCGAAGTCGGAAGCTAATACATTTTTAATTCAGTTAATAATTTAAAGCAATACACAGAAAATTGTAGTGACACACATTACAATTGTGTGTGTGCGTGCGTGCGTGTGTGTGTGGGGGTTTGTAACTGGGTTAGTGAGTGGTGGGCGTCTATTATTGGGCGGACTGCTTTACATCGGCTGCATTAGCTGCAGGTGTGCGATTCGCTTCCTCGGGCTTCATGGCAGGGAACAAGAGCACCTCCTGCAAGAAAATATCATGTATATTAGGGAATGAAAACAGATTTGTTGGCCACTTTTGATTTGGTACGCACCTTGATGTTATTTGAGTCGGTCAGGAACATGGCTAGCCGATCAATGCCCATACCCCAGCCTCCGGTGGGCGGCAGGCCGTATTCAAGCGCCGTACAGAAGTTCTCGTCCACCATTTGAGCCTCGTCATCGCCAGCGGCTTTGTCGCCAGCCTGCTGTTCGAAACGTTCCCGCTGCACCACGGGATCGTTAAGTTCTGTGTACGCATTGCATACCTCTTTCTTGGCCACAAAGAGCTCGAAGCGCTCCGTTAGACCGGGCACACTGCGATGGTACTTGGCGAGTGGCGACATTATTTGCGGATGTTCGCAAATGAATGTCGGATTGATGCATGTTTCCTCGATGAACTCACCAACCAGTTTGTCTAGCAAACGGGCGGTGGTGCGTGGCGCCGGGCACTCCACCTGATGCTTGGCACACAGTTGAGACAGAAACTCATTGGCAGCCGGACTGTTGAATGTGTCCGCTGAGGGAAACTTGACCTGCAGCTTCTCTTCGAGAGTCTTGATCATAGACACACGTTTGAATGGGGGCGTAAAGTCAATCTCTTGCTCGACACCTTCGGGCCCATCCGGATGGTATTTAATTTTGTATGAGCCATGAATGGCCATAACCATGCCAGATAGCATTTGCTCAGTGATTTCAATTAGATCGTAATAATCAGCATATGCCATATAAAATTCACAAGTGGTAAATTCAGGGTTGTGGGTCAAATCGATACCCTCGTTGCGGAACTGCCGACCGATCTCATAAACCCGATCCAGACCGCCTACAACGACCATTTTGTGATACAGCTCTGGTGCTATGCGCATGAACAGATCCATTTTGAGTTCGTTGTGATGAGTGACGAAGGGCTTGGCAGTGGCGCCACCAGCAATCATATTCATCATTGGTGTCTCAATCTCAAGGAAGCCCAGGCGATCCAGAAATTGGCGGACATATGATATAATCTGCGTATGAAGAAGCACGATATTTACATTTATTTAATAATATTGTACATACTACTATTAATGTGTTTTGTCACATACCTTTGCGCGAATTTGGAAATTTTCGCGCACTTTGTTGTTCAGTATTAGGTCTAGATACCGCTGGCGATAGCGCGTCTCCTTGTCTTTGAGCCCGAAGTGCAGATGGGGCAGCATGTGTAGACAGGGTGAAAGGAGTTTCAGCTCAGTGGGCATAATGGATAGTTCGCCCTTCTTGGTCTTGCCGGGATGACCGTTGACGCCAATGATATCGCCACGACGCAGCTTGGCCGTGTCTTGCTCGAAGGCCGCTTCACTTTTGTATGATTTAGCACTGGCCATCACTTGCAGCTTGACACCCTCACCGCGTAAATCGTAAAAGATGAGCTTGGCACCGGACTCGCGTATGGCATGAATACGTCCAGCAACACTCAAATTGACCTGATCGAGCGTTTCGCCGTCCTTGAGCTGGGCATATTGTTCAATAAACTTCTCCAGTGAGATGCTAACATGGAATTTGTGTGGATACGGATGATTTTCGGATGTTTGCTTTAAGTCGGCGACTGCAGCTGATCTCAGCTTAAAGTATTCATTGGGAGAGATCTCCTCTTCCTGTTCGGCGGAAGATTTTTTCTTTTGACCGGCATCGGGAGTCTCGGTAGCTAAGCGCGTTGCCTCCTTTTCTGCCTTTTCCTTGGCCTTCTGCTCAGCTTTCAGTCGGCGTTTCAGCTCACTGAAAATAAGCAATATATCAGATAAATTTCAGGAGACCGAGCTGATTTTACGAACAGTTTTGTGCGTTTACTTGGGGCCAGCTGCATGTTGGCCACATGGTAAAGTCTCGTAGCTGTCACCGTTGGCAGTTTGAGTGATGACAAATACACTAAGTGTCTAACTATGTTGCGTGCAAGCATTTTGCAGACGTTATTTTCAGGTGATATTTTATTTTTAATTTATTATCTATCTGCCGCTATCAAACAACGAAACAGTTCGACTTAACCTCACAGTTGCTGACTAGTTGGCCAACTTTTGATGGGGGATAAATGCTTTAATTTACGCAATGATTGCGTGTACTTACTTCTTGGACAGTTCACCAGTTGCAGTAGCCATGCCGCTTGACGTCTTAAGAGTTCCAACTAATAATTTGTTCTGAATGTATAAATATAAATAAAGATTGTGAATGCGCCACACACTCGAAGTGAATTGAAATTGTATTTATATACAATACATATCGATATATCGCTACATGCCATTATATAGAAATTCGCAAATTTGGCAAAAGACCGCGTTGCCAACGAATATAAAACACGTGTTGCTAGTACATCAGCTGATTTACCTAAGTATAGTATGGCAATGCTGGTAAAATTAGTTTGGAGATCGTGAGTATAAATGTCGTGATTTTCATAAATACTTTTCCTCATAAAAATTGACACTACCCTAAATCCTAAATACAAAAATATCCACAAACACGAACATCATCCAAACAGTAAATTTTTTATTAAAATCATTTCTGGACAATGTCTATTCGATTTTATACCATATAATTCAAATTAGAAACTTAGGTCCGTCTGGGCCGCGATAGACATATATGTTCACGCACACATCTCCAATCAGCAGGTGAAATTGTGCCGGGTTGCCCGAAGCTGAGTGGTAATGTAGAAAAAATATTGAAATATAAAATACATAGCAAACGTTTCTAATACCTTTCAGCCCTATATACAACTGGCGATTTATAATATTCGTCAAAAATTCAAACAGAAAATCCCAAAAAAAAAATATATATAAATTCGTGTACCACAGAGCATAAGCCATGGTAACGGTTGGACTTTTATCGAGCCTGCTCTGCGGCCGCAGTGTTGGCAGCGGCGTTGTCTGCATTCTAGCGCGCATCGCCAGCCCTAGAGTGAATCTCAATCTAAATCCACGTTGCCTCAGCTTCTTGGGCAGCATCAATAAAGGAAATGGCAGACCATCAGCCTCATCAACATTGCCTTCAACAACCACGACAGCGACAACAATATTGTCACCGCTGCTTGTCGCCAGATATCGCAGCTATGCGCGTCTTAGCACTAAATCAAACTCGCACTGTGCTAACGCCAACAAGACGGACACCAAATCCTCATCAACGGCCACCACCACAACCAGCACCAGCAACAGTACCAGCACCAGCAGCACCACCACCACCAACGTATCCAACTCAAACGAACTGTTTGGCGAGGCGGCGAACATGGGCCTCTTTGCCAAGTTCAAGCACATGTATAAGCAATATTGGTATGTGCTTATACCTGTGCACGTGATAACATCGATTGGATGGTTCGGCGGCTTTTATTACCTATCAAAAAGGTGAGCGACTGGCAGCAGCTTCATCTAACACTCAAAATTTTTCATATGGTACTTATTAATATTTGGTCAACAGTGGCGTCGACGTGCCTGCCGTGCTCCAGTACTTACACTTGAGCGAGAACATCATTGAGAAGGTGCAGGGTTCTGATATGGGCCACTACGCGATCGCCTATCTGTGCTATAAGGTGGCTACACCAGTGCGCTATGCATTGACACTGGGTAAGGGCTATCGAAAAATAATAGAAGAATCATATTATATATATTTTGTGCTTCTTTTTTAGGTGGAACCACGTTATCCATCAAATATCTGGTGCAGTGGGGTCATATCAAGCCGATGCCAACCAAGAGCCAGTTGATAAAGATGTACGAGGATACGAAGGCTACGCGCGCCAGTGCCAAGGCTAGCAAGGATGAGAATCGCAAATGATCGACGGCTATAAGGCGCCTTCATCGTCGCCTATTATCGTTGTCACTTGCCATTCGGCGTTTAGTTGGCTAGTTGTATTTTTATGTTAAGCTTTTTCACGTTTATTAAGGCAAATGTTGTTTCTGGATATTATCTTCCCGCCCAGACGCATCTGAAAACATACAACCGGATAACATATTTTTTAACGCCGCTGCATACGTTTGAGAGGATTACACATGAATGAATATTTCATATATACATATATATATTTTGTAATAACAGTTTTGCATAGTTTTTTGTTCGTTACGAAATCATTGCCCATTGCCGTATGCAAAGGAGAGCCATACTCACACACACATGCGATCTCGCATGCATACAGCAGACTCAACATAAATATAAACATTCAGACACACGAACATTCACTGACACGAATACTCACACGTACTCACACACATTCACATTAACGGACACACAATAGAAAGCATTATGGTGCGGCAGCCTCCGATACAAACCAAAAGGAATGTATATTTTGTAAATGTACTGAAAAAGTTATCGATAAAAAACCGAACTGGTATAAAACCACTAACCAGAGAACACATAGACCGGACACGTAGTGTAAAGTGTTTTGCACACTTTTTTTTTGACATTACGACCCACACCACTTCGTATTTGCTCGGCTCCTCACTTT